GGGGGGTCTGTGTATCTGTGTATGCTCCCAGGGTGCGTAAACGGGGTCTACTGGTGCCCCCAGGGGTGGGCAATGAGGGGTGCGCACCTGCCCGCCCCTCTTCCCCGGGAGGGACGGGGCATCTGTGCCTGCCCCACCCAAGGTGGGCAGTGGGGGTCTGTGCCAGACTAGCTCCTGCCCAGGGTGGGAGTTGGGGGTCTGTGCCCACCCCCCAGGGCAGCTGGGGACTCCAGCCCCAACACACTCATCACACTCATCTTCCCTCCCATTACCTAGTGCTTGGATGGGATTGACTACGACGACTTCAATTTCGGCTCCCACATGATGGAGCAGAAGGAGCCCCTGATGGAGACAGGTAAGGGCCCCTCTGGCTGTGCCCTCCTGGGGGTCCCCAGCTGCAGCGGGGTTTCCCAGCAGGCTGACTCATGCCTCGTAGTTCCCAGCAGCACCACGAGCTGTGTCCCCGCTGGCCCCACTGTGGGCTGACTGGGAATCCCTGCCCCATGCCACCGGGACAGGGACTGTTTGGTTTGGCCCTGCTGCTCAGTCTGCCGGGGTCTTGAGGTTGGGCAGTGATGGTCCCCAGGAGCTCCCCACTCTCCAAGCGCCAGAGCATCCTCTGGCCCTTCTCTCCTCTCCCTGCTGCTCTGACCACTGCTCCCAGCCGGGCTCTGACAGCACAGGGGCCAGTGGCCTAGAGTACCCCCATGGGACAAACAGGGGTCACCTCACCTTCAGCACCGTCCCAGAAACTCCGGCATGCTTACTGGGAGCACGCACTTTGGTTATCCTGTGTTTCTCACCAGTGCCTCTCCTCTCTGTCCTCCAGTGGAAGGTCCCTACCTTGTCATCATCGAGCAGCCAAAGCAGGTAAGGATGTCACCCAGGTAAGGGCAGGTGTAACTGCCACCCCCTGCTCTCATGGTGTCAGGTTTGGGCCACCCTTGGCTGACCTTCTCTTTGCCTCTGCAGCGGGGGTTCCGGTTTAGGTATGGCTGCGAGGGCCCTTCGCACGGCGGGCTGCCGGGAGCATCCAGCGAGAAAGGGCGTAAGACCTATCCCACCGTCAAGGTGAGCGCTGCCCTGGGGAGGGGATGGGGCAGTATCTTCAGCTGGTGTGCACGGGCACCAGGACGGTGCTTTGAAGGAAGGAAGGACGGGAAATATATATTAAGCTCTGTGTGTCTTGTGGCGCTGGAGGGATGGGAGGGCTGCGGCAGGAGGGGTGATGGCCGCGGGGGCGGGTAGCAGGGGTTTGCAGAGAGTCCTGCAGGCTCCTGGGGTATTGTACCTGACTCCCATCTCCTTTCTCCCCGCAGATCTGCAACTACACGGGGATGGCCCGCATCGAGGTGGACCTGGTGACGCACAGCGACCCTCCCCGCGTGCACGCCCACAGCCTGGTGGGCAAGCAGTGCAACGAGGCTGGCAACTGCATTGCGATCGTGGGACCCAAGGACATGACGGCTCAGTATGTGCAAGGGAGACCTGGGATGGCCTTTTCCCTGTGTGGGGTGGCTGGTGTGCTGGCTGCAGCTTACAGGCTGGGGAGAAGAGGTGGGGTTAGTGCGTCCAGGAGCTGACTTTGCTGGATGGGGCCAGGAGTAGGTGTAGACAAGGTCATTGGTACAGCTCTGTCCCCTGAGCATTTTGCCCCAGCTCCGGGTCCAGCATGTGCAGCTTGTTTTGGGCTTCTGTACTCAGGGTAGCAGCTCCCCAGCTTAGCAGATGACTTCTGTAGCCAGTGCGAGTTGTGGGGTTATTTGGCAACTGCTGCAGTTGCTTTTAAATCCAGCCCTGGCTGCTGGCTCAGGTCCTGTTTCCAATCCTCTGGCCTTCAGCCCTCCTGGTCCTCCCCTTTGGACTTGTCACCTGCGGGAACCCAGAGTTCCCCAGCCACCTCTTTTCTGGGCTCCTTTCCTCTCCTCTGTGGTTCCTCCTCTTATGCCCTGCACACGTTGATCCCCGCTGCCCAGGCGGCACCAGTCTGTGCTTTGCTCAGCTCCTTGCAGGCTGTGGGAGCCTGTGTGCCCCCCGGGCCAGCTGCTGCCAGCCCTGGCCCTCCCACATCCCAGCGGGATCCCTCTTCTCCTGTAGGTTCAGCAACCTGGGTGTGCTCCATGTCACCAAGAAGAATATGATGGAGATCATGAAGGGAAAGCTGAAGCAGCAGAAGATACGCAACAGGAGCCATCCGCTGACGGGTGAGGGCAGCCTGGGGGCTCAGTGGGACTCTGGGGGTGACACTTAGTGGGTACCCCGGGGTGACAGCTGGGGGGTTGGGCTTAGCATGGGGCTGGGGGGGAAAGCGGGGGAACCTTGGAGCCCCATCCCCTCGCCTAGTCTGAGGGTATCTCCCCCTGCCCCGGCAGAAGCGGAGCTGCGTGAGATCGAGCTGGAGGCGAAGGAGCTGAAGAAGGTGATGGACCTGAGCATCGTGCGGTTGCGCTTCACTGCCTACCTCCGTGACAGCAGCGGGAACTTCACGCTGGCCCTCCAGCCCGTCATCTCAGACCCCATCCATGACAGCAGTGAGTGTAGGGCCAGGATGGGGAGGGGATAGGGCAGGACGGGGTAAGGAGGTGAGAGATGCTATCTGCCACAGCGGCTCCCAACACCTTCTCTCGCTCTGCAGAGTCCCCAGGAGCTTCCAACCTGAAGATCTCGCGGATGGATAAGACGGCAGGCTCCGTGCGGGGAG